ATTTTAAAAAGGAAAAGCAGTAATGGATATTTTCCATTTATGTACTTTTGTTACCCAATTTGAAAGTTGCTTAGTAAGATAGTGTCAGATTTATTTTCCTCAGTCAATATTTTTATTACATTATTCTCTGGATCAGAAATCCTCAGTACTGGGGGCCTGGGGAGATAGCTCAGTGGTTAAGAGCACTTGCTGCTCTTGCAGAGGATCTGGGTTTGGGCAGTTCACAACTGTCTGTAACTCCAGTTCCAGAGGATCTGACATCCTCTTCTTTGGACACCTGTACACACACACACACACACACACACACACACACACAAATGAATCTTAAAAAAAAATCCTCAGTATAGGATTTCTCTTACATAGAAAGAAAAATCATGATTAGTTTTGTCATATAGACCTTGAAGCCTGACCCAAAATTATGTTTCAGTGTCATTGTCAAATAGTTTTTGACATTTGGGGCAGACAGCACCTCTCCTTTGCATCTGTACATTTACCATGTAGCAGATGGGAAAAGGTGATTTCAAATCTGCCCCCGTGGAGGCTCTACTAATATCTCACCTGTGCTCTACTGTATACCTGCTCACTGACCTGTTTGGACAGCCCAGGGCTTCCCCTGGAGGGGTAGGTCCCAGTACATTTTTCCTTTACTGACAACCAGCAAGTCTGAAAGAAGTGTTCTGCTTTTTTAAACTCAGTAACTCCCTACTCTTGAGTGGGAAAAGTTAGGAATTTAGCAGACTCTTTTCACATACACATTAGAGGCCAGAGAAATAGAGGCACTTGGCTAACATAACCCAGTGAAAATGTTCTCTACTCCTGGTGGATATGTTTCTTTCTAGGCTCTTGAATATGTGAGAATAGCTTATTCCCACCTTTTGGTGGTTACTGGCACTATTACTCCTCCATATACTTAAGTCATACAGGGCTTAATTTGCATCCTGTCTGTTAAGAAGCGCCAGCCCATCCCCTGAGATTTCTCTTGACCTATTCTGTATTTTTTCCCCACTCATGTGGTTTTAATCACTGTCATTTGCCTAACAGTTTTAAATACAATTAGTTTTCCATATCTACAAGATTTGCTATTAAATTTGAATTGAAAATATATGAAAAAATGCATGTACACTGTACCTGTATAGATTTTTATTGTCATTATCCCTAAACCATACATTATAGCAACTGTTAATGTAGCATTTGCGTTGTGTACCATATTATAAGTAACCTACAGATGATTTAAAGTATATGGGAAGATTGCAGAGATAATATGTTCCTGCATTTTATATAAGGAGTTTGAGCATTTTTAGATTTTGAAATCTGTAAGGGTCAGGTCTTGGAACCAATCTCTTGTGGTTGCTAGAGGGGAGACTGTGCATGTGTTTACTCTAACAATTGTAGATTATTTTTAGACAAAGATCAGATCTTATATTGCTTTTTTAACCTCCTCTAAATTTGGAAGGTAGTTTTATAAATATGTATGCAACAAGAATATTTCTTGATTGAAAGAAAAAATTGAAATATTAACTTCGCCATTTAACAATTGCATTTTGATTTTCAGTACTTAGAAATGATGGAATTAGATATAGGAGATGCCACTCAAGTTTATATAGCATTCTTGGTATACCTGGATCTCATGGAGAGTAAGTTGCCTGTTTTTATTGTTTTGTTATTGGAGCTATGATGGGAGTTTGGGGAACTGGGTTGACATTTAGCTTTGTTGACATAATAAACATTTTTCATTCACTATTTTACCAGTTAATTTTATAACCTTCATTCATTTACTTTGGGGATAATGAGGAAAGAACAAAGATTAGAAAAGTAAATAGAGGAGGTGATATGATGAGTGTAGCAGCTCAACTATTAGGTAAAGTTTGGAATTTTTTGTTTTTGTTTTTATTGTCCATTCCCTGATGTTCTTTCAGGTAAAAGTTGGCATGAAGTAAACTGTGTGGGAATCCCAGAACTGCAGCTCATCTGCCTACTTGGCACTGAGATAGAAGGGGAAGGGTTACAGACTGTCGTGCCCACACCCATTTCTGCTTCCCTTAGCCACAACAGGTGAGTGAGTGCTTTTGGTCTGAGTTTAATAGATCTTTGCCTAGTAGATTGTTTCATTCATTCATTTAATCTTTTTGAAACAGGGTCTCCCTGTAGTCCCAGCTGGCCTGGAACTCACTATGTAGTCCAAGCTGGCCATGATCTTACAGAGATCTGCCTGCCTTTGCCTCCCAAGTGCTGGAACTAAAGGCGTGCCTCACCACACCAGATTTTCTTTAAATGTTTTTGATAATAATCTTGTCTTTTATTGCTTTTAAGGAATGTTTTAATTAATAACTTCTTAGTTTGAATATAATCATATTTATCAACCCTTTCTTTTATAGTCATCATCTTTGTGTCTAGCTTAAGGTATATTCCTTACTTAAAATTCTTTCCATAAAGGTTCTTTTTAATATTTAAAAGGATACTAAGTTTCGAAAGCTTTTTTTTTTAATGATGTAAGAGAAGGGACCCCATTTTCATGTGGATAACCACCTTTGTGCCTTCATTAGAACCGTCAGTCCTGCCACTATTGTCTGATTTAGCATTTCTATAATTTCCAAGTTCCACAAAGGCAGTGAAACCATCTGGTCGTGGTTTGTTTTGTTTGTTTGTTTTGTTTTTTTAAATTGGAGGATTCTATTATTGCTTCGATCTGATTGCTCTTTATAGATCTATTTAAGTTGTTCATAACCTTAAGGTTTATGTTTGGTAGGTAATATACATCTAGAAATCTAATCCAATTTATTGGAACAAAGGTTTTCAAAATATTCCCTAATAAGCCCCTGAATTTCATTAGTATTTGTTGTAGTATCACCCCTTTCACTTCCAATTTTATTAATTTAGGTATTCTTTTTCTCTACTGGTTAGTTTTGTTAAGGGGTTGTCAGTTTGTTTTATATTTTCTGAGCATGAACTCATTATATTTGTTTGTTTCCATTTTATTAATTTCTGTCTCATCATTGTTATTTTTCCATCTATTATTTATTTTATTTTTGAGACAGGTCTCACTATGCTAGCTAGCCTGGAATTCATTATATAGACCAGGCTGTCCTCAAATTCACAGAGATCTGCCTATCTCTGCCTCCCAAATACTAGGATTAAGGATGTATGTTATCATGCTCAGCCTATTTATTAACTTTTGTGTTTGACCTTTTCTGGTGTTTCTAAGACTGAAATACATTATTAAGCTACTTACTTAAGACCTTTCCCTCTTTTTAATATATGTACTCATAGCTATGAACTTTCTTTTTGGAACTCTCTTTGCTGTACCCCTAAGTTCTGTTGTGTTTTCATTTTCATTTGATTTGTAGGACTTTTAAAAATTTCCTCCCTGACTTGGTCAATAACCCTCTTACCATACAAGAATGCATTTTTAGGTCTCAATTTATTTGTATATTTACTGTAGGTTTGTTTGCTATTGATGTCTACTTTTATTTTGTTTCATTATGATCTGAATATCATTTGTAAGATAATATTGCTTGGAATATAAAATTTTCACTCTCTATGTTTTTGACTGGCTCTTATGTGTTGGAGACACTATGTTGATCAAGAAGTCTTTATGAAAGTACTCTAGTATGGAATGTTGACTTTAAGTATAATTTTTTTCTTTTTGTTTGTTTGTTTGTTTTGAGATAGGGTTTCCCTGTAACCCCAGCTGGCCTGGAACTCACTATGGAAACCAGGCTGGCCTTGATCTCACAGAAATCTACCTGCCTCTGCCTCCCAAGTGCTGGGATTAGAAGGGTATGCCACCACACCTGACTTCTTTTTCTTTTCTTTTTGTTTGGTATTTATTGGATAGGATGTAGTAAGAACAGAACTGCCCTTTGCTCAAATATTTAATTGAGTGTGTTTTGGGGGATTGTCCCCTCTTCTACATTACTAGGTCATTGAGTAACAAGGATAATGAAGTACAGACAAGTACTTTAATCTTAGGTCAGGACCCAGGGGAAGGACAGGAAAGGTCTCCTAAAGAGACCGTGTTCTGGTAGGGCAGCTACAAGTCACTGAGCATGATCGTCTGCCTAGCATGGCATCTAGTCAGAATAGGTGCTTAATGATGTTGCTATGACAGCAAACAGCCAAGAGAATGAATAGAACTCAGGAGAGAAGAGAGTAAGAATGGGAAATGACATGGGAAAGGTTGTCTAGATCATGAAGACCTTTGCCATTTTTACTTTCCTGCAGTTTCAGGTGTTTCTCTAATGAATAGTCTCATAAGTAGCTCTCTGTACTTGGGTTTGAGAGATTTTCTAAGGCAGAACCTGGAAGTGGAATGGCTTGGACATCCAGCATTTAGACCTGCATCTTTACTGGTTATCACTAAAGTGTTCTTCAGAAATTTTATCAATTTACACTTTCGCTGACAATATTAAGATTTCATAGAATAGGGGAAGAGATATGCAGTGTATAATTGGCAAAGGTTAATTTAAATTAAATAGTATTATGAGTCAAGGAAAAAATGGTAGAAAACATGGATCAAGAATATGGATTGGCAGTTTACACAAAAGGAACTAAAATATATCTGTTTGTGCTATGTCTTTACAGAAGCTTTTGATAATTTATATTTTAATTTTTTGACAAAAAGAAGGTACTTAATTCATGGAGAACCTTTGAACAGGGTTACAGCTAGCACATAAAGTCTGAACAAATTAGGGAGATTCTTTTTGGAAATACAAAGAGAAAAGTTTCTACACTGTGGTTCAGACACTGAAGGAGGGATTGCATATGTACCGTACCAGACTCACTTGTACAAGGTCCTGTCTGTGTAGCCTTACATGATCCCCTTCCATTGCAACATGTCTATTGAGCTTTTCACAAAGGTTGTCAAGAGGATTAGTTAGTAGATGATGTCACTGAACGGCTTTAAGGAGGAAAGTGGCACTGTGTATCATTTTATGTGGTTGTAAGGGTACTTTGCCTTTATAGAGAATGTTACACTATTTCAAACTATTTCCACAAGTATTCTTTGATTTCATCTTCACTAAAATTGCCCCAATTATACATATTTAAAAGCTGTGACTAAGGGCTGAAGAGATGGCTCAGCAGTTAAGATCACCTGCTGTTCCTACAGAGGACCTGGGTTCGGTTCCCAGTACCCCATGGCAGTTTACTACTGTCTATAACTCCAGGTCTGGGGATTGGTGCTCTCTCCTGGCCTCCACAGGCACCAGGCATGCACATGGTGCACATACATACATGCAGGCAAACACTCATATACATAAAAAATAATAAGTAAATACATAAATAAAAAAAATTATAAAAAGCTGAGACTAAACATGTTTTTATTTGTTCCCCTGTTTTTTCTAAGAGATATTAAAACCTTAATAAGTTACACCAAGATCTCACAGTTGCTTGAGTTCTTCCTTATTGTTTTGTGTGTGCGCATGCATGTGTGTGGAGGCCAGAGGACAATCTTGGGTGTTGTTCCTCGGGCACCATATCCACCTTTTTTGTTTGAGATAAGGGCTCTCATTGGCCTGGAACTCAACCAAGTAGGCTAAGCTAGCTAGCCTGTAAGCCCCAGAGATCCACCTGTCTGTCTTCTTGGTGCTAGGGTTATAAACCTGTGATAGTGCCTTTTTTAAAAAATGGGAATTCTGAGGATTAAACTCAGGTCCTTATGTTTGTGCAGCAGGCAGGTTAGCACTAAGCTATCTCCCAGATCCTTCCTTCTTTACTAGCATTTTAGAAATCTTTGATACTTACCTGACAGTGGGGATACTGTGATCAAGAAAGTGGTTGGTTGTCCTAAGGTGAGGTTCATCCATTGCACGCTGAATGTGCTGACCCCCTATGATTTCCCCAAGTGTGGGAAACTCGACTGCATAATTCGTGATAGTGGGTAATTTGTTAAAAAAATCTTTTATTATAAGTAAAATCAGATGCAGAAAGGCACATAATTACAAATATGAGTTAAATATGAGTTATCATAAGATACAAATCTCTGTCTCATAACTGTGACCAAATCAAGAAATAGTCTTTTTCCAGCCATCATGGACCCCCTCCCCCGCCCAGTGAGTAGAATAGTTCTGTCCTTCCTCATAAAAGTAACCACTATTCTCACTTTCATAATAATTGTGCTTTGGTCCATCTATTGTTCTATGGACATATTAGTGCTAGCTTCTTTTGATTGTCATTCAAGAAATTATGTTGGAATGTGAGTGAATGAGACTAATATTATCAAGAATACTAATTTTATATTTAAAATATCCTGCTACCTCTGGTACTTATTGTTAGAAACAAATGACTTGCCACACATTACAGAGCACACCAGCTCTAAAGCACCATCCCAAGCTGTGCTGCTTAGCTTCTCGAGAGTGTTTTTCTCAATGCTCTGTATTCCTTAAAAAAAAAAATCTTTGGGGCTGGAGAGATGGCTCAGTGGTTAAGAGCACTGACTGCTCTTGCAGAGGAACCAGGTTTGATTCCCAGCACCTTAACTCCAGTTCCAGGGGAATCTGAAACCCTCTTTTGACCTCTGCGGCATTGCATGACACGAGTGCACTCACATACATGCAGGCAATACACTCATACAAATAAAATAAAAATAATAAAAATATTAAATAAGTTTTCTAAAAAAATCTTTAAATGACATTTTTAAATTAATAATGAAACTGGGTAGTATACAGAACTTAGAGCCAATGGAATGGGCGATTTGTTCAAAATGCTTCACTGTGTTTACAATAATAACTCCTTTATTGATGTTCCAAGTTTTGGAATCTGTTGTTTATAAAACCAGGCCAAAACTGTCACCAAAGTGTAACTATAGTACATATGAACTACAACTTAGTTTTAAAACATTTCCTTAGTAAGGACAAATGCTCCTGTATCAGTCAAAACCATTTCAGTAGCTGTCTTGCTGCTTGATTGTTGAGTGGCAGACTAGGACATATATTTGCATGGTTTATTCTTCACTCTATGGCGTATAGTATATATATTTGCTGTCTCCTTAAAAGGTAGCAGTCTGGGGAAATGTTTAGTGTTACTGTGTATCTGGGAACATTTCTAATAATGTCTGGATTTTTTTTTCTTCTCCATTTCCCACTTATTTTCCCAGGGTTTGGACCTGGTGGCTTTGTTTTCATAGTTTCTGGCACTAGAGCAGACAGATTCCATTAGAGGGTGAAGGAGTGCTTGAGTGGCTATGGATATATATGAATGTAGTCAAAATACTTAGCATATTCTTCAAGTCTCAGAAGATCTGTATATGCCCTTCTGAAAATGTTAGTTTAATGATAATTACTGGTGTCCATTGGGAGGATAAAATTGGCCAAATGCTTATTTCTGGTTATTGGTGGGAAATTATTTTGATGGAGTACGAGGTGTCCATTTGCTAGTGTGTGTGTTTTTTTAAGGGGAGGACTCATCTTTTTTTTTCTCATCTAAAAATACTTCCTAGATAATTTTTAGTTTGAATTATAAAATAATATTAACTCACATACTTTAGTGATGTGTCCATATGAATGGTATGTCACATTGTTTTTCTGCTTAAGTGAATCTAAGGAATCTATGCAACAATTCTGATAAAAGCCTGTGGAGGGGAGTACCTTTTCCCTAGACAAAACAATGGTATGAAGTCACATTCATAGATTCACAGAGATCACAGACATGATAGATTTAAAGATGAAAGGACCGGGGAGATGGCTCAGTGGGTAAGAGTGCTTGCTATGCAAGCTTGAAGACTTGAGTTCAACCCCCCAGCACTCACATAAAAAGCTGAGCATGGCTATATATCCCTATAACCCCAGTGTTGCGAGGTGGAGACACGTGAATCCTGGTTGTTCACTGACTCAGCTTTCCAATTCATTCAGGGATCCTGTTGTAAGGCACAGAGTCATAGAGGAAGACACTCAACGTCCTCCTCTGATCTCTTCATGTGCATGCTCACACATGCATGAGAGAGGCGGGGAGGGGAGAGGAGAGGAGAGGAGAAAAGAGAAGGAAGGGGAGGAGGAGGAGGAAGAGAGGGAGGGACGGAGGGAGGGAGGGAAAGGGAGAGAGAAATAATAATAAAGATGAGAGCTCAAGGCCTATCTTTTTCAATGCTGTTATTACAAATGAAATTAAATTTATATTTAGGTTGTTTCTCTGTGGTGAACAGCAAAATAGTTTAACTCTGGTCATATATGCTAACAGCTGTTCAAATATACATTCACCCAAGGAGAAGCTACTTTGCCACTGGTGTATGTTGAGAATCTTAAGTGGGAGAAGTCTATTATACCAAAGTTAGGATCATAGAATTACAGATGCCTGAAATAGAATTAATATTACAGGGAGTTGTAAATTGGAAAATATCTTAAGATTTAACTCATAGCAAAGCTCTAAATGAAAGAAGAGAAATGGTTTTCTGGTTTTGGACAACTAGTATCTTCTTGATAGTAAGATACAAGAAGGAATGAAAACTGAAACCATAGCTGACATATTTTAGTTTTTCTGTAGTTATATATGTTTAAAATACCTGAGTAAAATCAAGAATCTCACACAATTATGATGTCCTCAAACAGTTAAGGTAGTGCCATTGTTCACATAACATGTAAACCTCCTTTGTGGCAAAAGATAGTAGTTTTTTCTTTCCTTAATAATAACTGAATTATGACTCTTTTCAAACCTGACTAAATTATAAAGCTCTCTCAGTGGCAGAGGATAGTGGAAGTACTTATGGAGTTTCCCCAGCCCCCAATTACACACAAATTAATGGCTTTCTTTTGTGTGTGAGAGAAAATTATTTCAGATATTCTCTTTCTTGGCGACCCTTCTAGTTTGAATGCCACTTTACAAATTTGGAAAAGCAGGACTGGAAAGGTGGCTTAGCAATTAAGAGCACTTGTTGTCCTTCCAGAGGACCCAAGTTAGGTTCCCACCACCCACATCACGCAGATCCCAACCACCTGTAACTCCAGTTCGTTCTGGCCTCTGCGGGCACAAATATGTGCTAAAAATAGAAAAAGGCTTCAACATTCCATGTATTGTCCACTTTGCCTCCATTAAGCTGAAAAGTTGAAAAATGTTGGTCACATGGTATAATTAAGACTTTTTTGAAAAGATTCTTATACAATTAAGTGAAAGCAATTTAAAACATAAGAAATGAATACTGGATTCAGAAGTTAGGATTCCTAGTCTTGATTTTCCTAGTCTGATGCTTAGCATACTTAGGCATACTGTATCCTGTTTGCATAGTGCTGTTCTCAGAAGACCGCACTTTCTTTTCTTCCCATGTTGTATTAAATGCATTGTGTTCTTTTTTTCCTCTGTTAGAATTACCCTTTTCTCAGTATAACTTTTGAAGCCATTAATAATTTTTCTTTGAAAGACATGATTACTTAAATATTTCATTAACTATTTGTGTCATCCCTGTAAGATATCACAGTAATCACTCAGATAATATAAGTGATAAATTATTTATTCTTACATGCATTGCATTAATACATTTGCAGGGAGAAGAACTGATATTTTAAAACACTGGTCTATGTAGGGAAAATTATTTACTGTTCTTACACTAAACTGATATAATGTTTTTTAACCATTAAATATAGTGACTATAAATGAATATGAATATAATTGTAGACTGTCTAGAAGCAAAATAGAAGAATTCTTTGGTTTGGGGAGAAAATAAAAAGAATAGGGGATAAAATTTATAGACTGCTTTATGGTTTTTCTAATTTATTATTAGATTTCTGGGCTCAAGATGTTACAAACTAGCACAGGCCCTTCCCACAAGATGCTCCTAGTCTAGAGCTGAAATGGACAGACCTTTATACCCAGTGCACTTTAGTGTACTGAGCTACATGTATAGGACACTGAGGAGGACTGCAGAGGGAGATCCAACTTTCACTGACAGTATAGGACAGGGGAGTCTGTAGAAATATCCTGGAATACAAGTCATTTGAAATAAGCACAAGCATTTATTGTAGAGAAAAAAGCTCCCAGCAGAAGCAGTAGTGTGAGCAAGCCTGAAGTCGCCAGTGTTTCCTTAGGACTGGATATGCAGTAGCCACAGAAGCCATAACTACCTGCAGCTGCTGAGAAAGTTCTGCGTTTTGTGTTTAAGTTCATGTCTGTATGTGTATGTGGGGCTGAGGGAGAGAAGGAGAGGATATGTGCAATGAGAAATGAGAATGAGAGGAGGGGAGGAAGAGAGACAGAAAGAATACTTGAATAATCTTCCTGGAGCTGGAGAGAGCATTTGACTGTTCTTGCAGAGGGCCTGGGTTCAAATTACAGTACGACATGGTAACTCTCATTCCAGGGGATCTGATGCCTCTTCTGTCCTCCATGGGCACTGCATGACATGGGTGCAGTTACATACATCCATACATATACACACTCATACATGTAAAATAATAAAAATAAATTAAAAATTAAAAAAGTATAATCTTCCTGAGAAGCAGTAGTCCAGGAGAAGCAACCTCATAAGGATAAGAGGGTAAAGGAATTTGAGGACTGTTAAGAGATTAAGAAATTCGAAGGTAAAAGAAAGCTAGGACAAGAGTTTTGTCACTACAAGGTCTTTAGGAGACACTGGTAGATCCTAAAACAAAGATGAGAAAATTGAGTCAGAATACTGTTGAATTGTAATGCTCATTTCTGTTTTCTGTAATGGATGCCAATTCGATATACAAATCTGTGAAGATATAAGAGGGATCAGCAGTTAGTGCAAGAGTGCTGTTTGGAGCTTTGAGGACTCTAAGTCACTCCCTGGCTTGCCATTCCTTTACCTTCGCTGAGCCTTTTCAAGTTTCTGCCCTGTAAGGATTGAAACACTCTAGGGCTGAGAGCCTTTCTCTTGTTGATGGTCGCTCCCCAGTTGCCTCCTCTGTTTCCATGGTTTTAAATGTCACCAGTATGTTGATGACTCCCAAATTTG